ACCCTCTTATATCTAACAAATACAACTGTCTTGGGGTTGAAAATATTCTTTTTCGAAGCATAGATCATATCCAGTACATGGAAAGACAAATGCATCTTATCGTCCAGCAGGCTGGACACATTCTCTCAAAATTTAAATGCTGTGGGCTGGCACCAGCTGTAGCAACTTGTGTGCATCACACGGGGCAGTTAACAACCCCCTGAATCACTGCACTCCTGGAGCACAAGCAATAGAAGCTTCTCCCCCCTCCCGCCCCCTATCTTAATTTCTAAACCAAGCAGCTATCAGCCTTGCTAGGTTGGGCTCTCTCTAAAGACAGATGGGGGTGTTTATCAGGGAGAGGGATGGTGGATTGATTAAGCAATAACACGTTAGTGTAAACAAATGCACAATAGCAAATTTGGGATTTTTTTCCTACTCCCAGCAAGTAAGTGTTAGGACACACAAACTGGCTTCTATTAGCACTTAATGTTTTTTTCTTTGATGCTTTTTTTTTTAGCTTGCTTGGAGCAAAAGTTTCTTACAGCACTATTTGTTGCCAGGAATTAATATAGTAATCAGTAATGCAAAGAAGTAAAATAATTCCCTCCTCAAAATAAAAGGAGGATGAATCTGCAGGTTATTAATTACTTCTTTTGTTTGGCCACTTCAGGCAACCGTTCAAAACGTAACCTTTATGTAAAGCATAAACCACAATTACTGTCTAGACTTGCAGAGGCATCACACACAGTTGCAAAATGAGCCTAGATATGCGGATAGTCAATTAAAAAAATCTAACTGCATTAAGTGTATTGCAACCATGATGGAAGTACAGTATGCCCTAGGTTTCTGAATTGTGTTTAAAACCTAGAACTTTGTCTAGATGCACTGGCCACCTTCTTAACTCTCTGTACTGCTTTTCATCAATCGTGTAGCTGCTCTCCCTCTTTTGTTTGGAAATGCAACGTCGCCAGTGGATTTTTTGAACCTTTCCTACTTGCTCCTTTGTGGAGTCTCCCCTCTTCAGGGAAGGTAGAACAGAAATCAAATCACACCTACAAAATGAAGGCTTTGTTAAAGAGAGAAGTATTGCAATTTGCCCAAAGATGGTTAAGATTCTGTGTCAGGCTTATCACCATATTTAAAAGTGGTGATCTTTCATATGCGTATTACATAACAAGAGGTCTAGCTTTATCACCAGCATGCATCAAACCTGGATAAGCTTTACTCAAATTGAAAACCCTCCAGCAGAATGCAGATCAGAAGGACTAAAGGATCGGATAGGTAATTAAACCAGAGGGCAAAGATGATTATCAAAAGGCAGCACTTTATACACTTACATCCTTTTAGATGAGCTGCATCATCATCACAAATGAAAATTATTCTCAGAAAGTAAATACAGAGCTTGTTGGGCCTCTGCTATTAGCAAACAAACAAAACCTTGACTAAAATAAAGCTGGATCTGATAAAGCTAACTCCTGAAGGGTTACCTTGACTTAAATTTTCCAAATGCCATAAATGACATGCAAGTTTCTCATCACTTCTAAAAATTATGATTGCTTTCACAGCACAATGACTTTTTGAGCTACCTACAGCATATTTAGAAAACACATCTAAGATCACAACCGCTCTTACAGTAGTTCTGCTCTTTTATTAATAAGAGTCCAATGGCCAACTGCATGCTTGGCTACCTAATTTTTGAGACAGAGGGCACCATTCTCTATTAAAAAGCCTCGAGTTATCAAGCACTGTCAGAGGGCTTATATCCAGGATTGGTTTCTGTGCCTAGTATTTCTTGTGCCTTCTAGCATGAAAAAGAGATTAATATACTTGAAATATCAACACATTTTATATCAAAAATCATTCCTAGATTAAGTATATTAACACTGAACATATCCCTTTTTATCTGTGTGACCACTACTAATAATAGGTCATTAAATAAGTGATCTAATGACTAACCGTGGGACAATAAAAAGAACCAGCACAAAGATAAATGCCTAAAAATATTAAATGTTGTATCCATCCCTTGTGTTCTATGTTTCTTCCTTACTTCGCTAGACTTTTCAGGTTTGTGACTGTGTCAGATTAGCAAATCAAGTCCTTCGTCTCTGAAGGACTGGTGAGTAGTAGTTGCAAATATAAACAATTAGGAGAGTTGAGTCTTTGGGTGATGCTTATTGATGAAACACAATTTTGATATCAAATATGAACACCCAGTGCAGAATGCAACACACCGTGTGGCTGAAATTCTGCAGTCAGAGCAGTTCTTTGGCCACCTCCCTATCTGCAGTATAGAGAGATATGTGAGACAGAACTTGAAATTACTATAGCCAAAGTCCTGCCTGCACTCTGATTACTAGCTTGTTTGAGAGATTTCAGTTGTGCACTACCATAACTCCTACTTGTGCAATTGAGCAGCACCCAGTACAGCATCAGAGACAGTACTTGTGTTTGATTCCTTACCTGAACAAACTAATATTCAAGACTATTGGGTTGGATTTTTTTTAATACAATAATATATTTTCCTAGTTGGCACAAGCAAAACCAAACATTAGTCCTTAATTTTGTAGTAATAATAAATAACTCAGGCTGGTGAGTACTCAGAATACTCTGCCAGCTGTCTCTCTGTCTTTTCTAGACAACTAACTCTTTAACTCATCCTGTGTTGTCTTGACTACAGAGCCCTAAGAGAACTACATAATTCCTGGTAAAAAAAATCATAGCCGGGACACTGTAGGTTAAACTTAATGTCCTACCTGGGACTTCAAAAGCAATACAAACCAGTACTAGGAGTATCAGTTGCAAGAACATAATCTTTAACAAATGAGCTTCCATGTTCTGAACCAGCTTCACATTTGAAATGTTGAAACACAGTGTATGCAGTAGCCTGGTTATGGGTGAGAAAGATCTGGATGTCAGCTGCAAGGTCTAGGAAAGCAGCGAATGCAAGGTGTTATTGCATATTGATACACACACTTTGCTGATTGTACTTGTTTTCAGTTTTTCAAGCTCTTTTCAGCAGCAAATAATCCCACAAGCTGTAGCTATTGTTTGGACACTGTCTAATTACTACGGTAGTTACAGCCGAGTGTTCTGACCACCTTTGCTCTCAGGGCTTTAAAGCCCCCTGCCACAGAGCAGCAAGGCTGGGCTGCTCCAGAAGGAAAGGCCAGCCAGCAGCCCAGTGGCAATGCAGGTAGGGCAGTGACCTCACTGGTGAGGCTGCAGCCCCACAGTGCCTGAACAAGAGCAGAGGAGGTCTGGTGACGGTAACCAGGTTCACACAACAGTCCTGTTCATCACCGGAGAAGTCTATGGCGATGAGGGGTCTCCCAGGTCAAACCAGGAAGCCAAGTCAGAAAGGCAAGGGTGGAATCAGCAAGGTGCCAGACTAGACACAGGCACGCCTGCAAAGTAGGTTAGGCAAGGATCAAGGGCAAGGACCTGGGCTTAAATACAACTCTTGAGCCAAGGGACAGAGGTGTCTGTTGAGACTTTTCACACATATCTGTCTTACACAACCACTGGATCCGAGGTCAACCAGCTGCAAGCAGCTAAACCCTTGTGGGCCAGGAGGACAGCCTGGTAGAGCATCTAGGGCCCCGCCTGCCATGTGGCTGGCGGACATCTCTGTACTGGGACATTAGAAAACGCTGGAGTTTGTATGCTCACCATCACTGAGCACTGTCCTGAGCAACTTCAGCAAGTCTGAATGACCTATATTCAGGAGCAACATTACCAGGTCATCAAAATGTATCTAGGAGGGCAGCCTCCCCAGACTCACAAAGCATCATGGAATCCCTATGCTCTCAAGCATGATATGCCTATGTGGCATAAACAAGCAAAGGTTTCTGCTTATTTACTGGACTGACCATGCTTCTGTATCACCAAAAGACACTCTCTAAGGAGGCGGCTCTGCATCACAAAGGAATCTTCCATCAGCCTTCCTAGGGAAGGAGTATATACTAGCCTGCCCCCCAGCTTAGCCGACAAGAAGGAAGTCAATGTTTAAACCTAAACATGTACACTTTTGATCTTCTTCCCTGACATTTAATTAAAGACCACCTTTGCAAAATAATACCACGTTTGATTATCCTTGTAACTTTGCCCAGACATCACGGCACAAGAAGATGTGTAGAGCTTTAGCACTGCTGTTCCACTCCACCTCAGTGCAGCACTTGCTAAGGTAGCAAAGCAATTAAAACTGTAGTTTTCCACTTTACAAAACAGCTATAATCTATGTGTTTTGATGCTTACAGTGCCACAGCATTATAAGATTAACTCAGTGTTTCAGTGTTTTCTGCAGTCCAGATTCAGATTCCCAGTCTGATGGTGTCACAAATGAGAAGAGTAATGTAAGATGAAGGACACACAGCAGATAAAAAGGCAAGTTGACAAATGTCTTCCTGTCAGTCACTCTTTCTCTCACAATGACCATGTCACAATTTTTGCTGAGTCACAGTCGATTAAGTTATTGATGTTAATGAATGTTCTCTGAATCCCCTTCCAGAAGGGAAATAAAGCTAATAAATAAATACACAATTTCAGTGAACATCTGATGAAAGGCAGCTACCCTGTGCACAGGCTAGAGAAGACTGTTCCTTCACTTCAATTCCACATCTGGTTTTCTTCTGTCCTGTACCCATACAAAGTAACCCCACAGTCCACATATTAAAGAAACCCCATTAGACAGTAATCTTTAAGTTCTTGTATACTATTTCCTTCTACAGACCATAAGCTTTATGGCACTCTGACCAATTTAAAGTTCAGGGAGACAAGAAAGTAGCACCTCACCTCTAAGTTTTGACTTTATGCTTCTGCTTTCACTCTATGATTCCTGGTGGGAAAAAAATCTTTTTGCTTGGAAACAGTAATAAGCAGCTTCTGCTTATGGTCTAACATTAGGAGGAAAAAAAACCTCACAGAGAAGCTAACAATTCTTCAGTAGTCAGGGTAATTATTACCAACAATTCATAACATACCAACAACTAGCACAGCAAGACTACCACTCCAACTGTATTTAACTTTGTTTATTGAGGCCAAGAGAAATCTTTTCTCATATCTAAGCCTGAAGGGGGAATTACCAACAAATTCTGGCACACAGTTACATTCTTTTCAAATACACTATTATACAGCATGAGATTCCTGAAACTAGAGAACTTTCCATAAAGCTTAAACCACATTACTCCAAAAGGGTTGGGGTGTGTGTGTGTGTGTGTAAGAAAAAAGTGGTAATACAATCAAAGTCAGTGACAAATCAATAGAAAAAGAAAGCTGGAATGCAAAATTGCACACTGTGTTGTGTAAAAATTGTGTCTGTTCAAACTTCTAAAAGAACTAGAAATCCTGTATTGCTGCCAATTTATTTGTTTAGCTGAATTATTGCTATATACAGAGCATGAATTAATATATTTATTGGGTTACAAACAGAAAAATACATGCAAGGAAATTATAATATTGAGTTATGTATATCTGACAATGTTATTAATTTTGACATAATATGTATACTAAATAGGAACTAAATTCCACTGACAGTTGACTCAAAGGAGTTACCTGCACAAGGTCTAAGAAACAGTATTAACTAAACAATAATGGACTAAAACTAACAGAGTGTAAATCAGTAATCACTGTACAATAGCTATAGTACTGCTGAAAAAACAGATTTCAAAATTAGAGCTAAATTTTCTCTTTGGAATATAAAAATAATGCATTTTCCTCATGCTAAACACTTCTAAAAACATTTAATTTCAAGTGTATTTATGTACTTTTCTAAAAATTCACATATCTCCAAAATAGTAATAAAATTTGTGTGATGAATAACAGACCAGTGAAAATTAACACAGGAGATACCTGATTGCCCTACCTGTACTCTGTCCATTTTATTAGATCTCTTGGGACTACCTTATCAGTATGGAGTAAAATCGTGGTGCCACTAATATCTGCAAAAGATGCATTAATGATGTCAACAAGGAAAAAATTTTACTCTGTGTGCTTCAAACAACAACAATAAAAGAATGCATTCAAAATGTCTGTTAGTTTCCCCTTGATTTAGAATTTCCTTCAAAATTATAGTTGGCTGAGGCCCCCACTGACACCTTGACTTTGAGGAGAAGACAGATGTTAAGGTGTGGCATAAACCTTAAATGTTTCATAAATGACTCACTACATACAGAGGAGAATTTTATGTATTCCAGAAGAGGACTATGCATTTGATTCAGCTCTGAAAGACCCCAAAATAATAGGACATTAAAGCTTTAGCAGTTTTGCATATAGAAACTAATTCTGTAACGTTCTGGAATGTTTTAGCTACCCTTTTCTCATTTTTTGAGACTGAGGAACTATGAAAGTAAGCCGCATGACAGAAAAGTAACATTTTAAAATTGTGATACGATTGTAAACACTTTAGAAGTACTCTTTTCTTGTCCAAGACTGGGCACTTTCAGCCTCATACAGAATCAAGGTTTTACAGAAGAGACGTAATAGTTTTCACAATGGAACCAGATGAATTAATTAAATTTATGTGGTGCAGTCTTCTTCACCTAGGACTGGCCTCTACTTTTTAGGCATAATTTTTGAATGGTCATTTTTCATAATGGTGTCAACAGGGTTTTTGTAAGTGCTCCAAACAATACTATCTGGAACCGAAAATACATAATAATCATTTCACAACATTCCATAATTTACTTTTTTAAGCTATAGGCTAGAAAAAATGTATACAAAATAAAATGGTACTGAAAATGAGGCATAATAAATCTCTGACTAGAGCCTTCCTACCACTATTTCTGAAATACTGATGTTTTTATGATCTTCAGCATATAGCTTTTCATAAAAATGTATCTTGTTCTCTTTTCCATTTTCATCCACTTGGAGTAATAAGTAGAGTCACCTGGGTGATCTAAAAGACAAACAGTTGTGAGGAGCCAAATAAGACACATGAACATCCACAGTTTTAGAAGTTACAGCCTGTTGCCATAATGATGCGTTCTGGATTTAGTGAGTGATCTATGTATTAATTAGTCAGATCAGCACTTATGTTTTGAACTTTAAGTTCTGCAAGTCTTACAAGCATTAAGTTTTACAGTGTCTGCTACTCTCTGTTAGTAAGGGTCATCAGATAGTTTTCAGATGCAAATTTAATTTTCAAATGCTTATAAAACCAAATTATCCTGGCAGTAATACATTAAGAAGCCTAAGACTGAGACACAGTTCCTGTATCAGTAAAATCTAAAATGATGATTATGAGAACTACACTAACAAGATAATAATATTATTCAAAATAAAACAAAAAAATAATCCAAAAGAGTGGATTTTCCAACATGATAAACATTAAGGCCACAGCTCTCTGTGTAAAAACAAAGTTTTATCCATGTGCAACACCACGGACTTTGCTGTTTGGAATAGTCATCATCCTCAATAACTAAACATGGTCTTACAAAAATCTGCAAACTCTATGAAATGTCAAAACTTGCTCTTAATATTTTCCCTCTATCTTTGGTCATCCTCTTTTTCTGCTGCTCAGACTTTTTTAACAGCAGGAACAGGACATGAGGCTTTCATTTTTCTTCATCATATATCTCCCATATGAGAAGGAGAGAGGTTATTATATAACTTCACGTACTGAAAATGCTGAAGTACAAAACTAAAGATACTGTGATTTCAGAGCACAAACAGATGAATCAGTTCCATAAGCACCCATTTGAGCTAACTCCCTTCAAAGATTGCTAGAAACCTAAGAAAAGCATGAAATTATTGAAGATTACATGGATGGAGATGATTTTCAATTAGGTTTAGATGCAGATCAGTAGAGATAAACACAGTTCTAAGTGTGTCACCCACTTTCTGTGTGACATAAGTGTTGCTGACACTTTTTTCCTCTGGTATAATTTTTACACTTCATGATTTAAAATGTGGTTTCTACATAACTGCCTATTTTTTTTTTCCCCTGAAGACAGTAATTAAGTAAAGTATCTCTATTTATTTTCAACTGAATGGGTATGCAAATGGAAGATATAAAAACTTGTTTTAATCTCTAAAGCAGTTTCTTAAAAAAATACAGGTAATGACTTGAAGAGGGGCTTTTGTGGTACCAGTTTGCCAATATGTGATCATGTGGGTGCTGTTAAAAATTGCATGTGGTCTGTTATTTTACATTTCTTTAGTGTTATATTAACTTGATTTAAAATGAATTAATAGTATAATTAAAGAAATACATACATCACTGAAATTGAATCACAAATACATCAATTTTAAAAAATAATTCTGAAGATGTGTTTAAATTAGAATTTGGGACAGGAGAAAATACTTAGTTTTCATAAATATTATTTATAATAGAAGTAAAGCATGACAGATTCTTTTTCTCCTCAGCAGTGATGTGGTTCACTCCACAGAGTCAGCTGAGATAGACAGAAGAAGCTGATCAACTAGAAGTGCCAGAAGTAATAGCAATTTTTGGCTCTTGTGAAAAAAGTGCTGCATTTTACAGGAAGGTCATTTTGTTCCACTGATAGATGATGTTTACATCAATGATGACATGTTTCAAACTTTTCAAGAGGTTTCAGTAACAATGGTATAACCCTTAAGATAACGATATAATCCAAAATAAAGACACAAACCACCATTCAGGATGGATATGCCACATTATTCATAGGGAGCAAACTCTTGTAATATCCACAGCTATAACAAAAATATGTAAAACTTACAGTTTAAGTCTTAAAATGTATAGTCAGGAATATCTAACAATGTTGTAAAAACACTTCAGACTTTCCAGTGCCAAATGGACAGAACGATGTAGCTATACTGGGATGTCAGTGTGCTTCAGCCAATACCTTTACCTTAAGTTTTAGTGATTCTGGTCTCATAGCAAGCTTAGATCTAACACGACATGATTAATAAGCTGAATAGCCTCAGCTGTGAGTGATTTCCTCTGCAGTCACATGGTTCAGTTACTCTGTGCCATTCATAAAAAGAGGCTCTCATAGACAAAAACTATCTCAATGGTAACTATCTCATCATCTCAGTTTGCTACCTGTACACATGTATTCTTTACCGAGGAGGAAAGTGAAATCTTCTCCTCCGACTTGGATGTTCCAATCCATATTCTCTACCTGGAAGGAGTGGAAAAGGAATTAAATATTTTTAATTAATATTAAAGCAGGAAAACAAGAGCTTATTCAGGCAGTCTGCAAGAAAAATTACATTTATACAAAAAAGAAACATGTCTTGTCTCTCTCCAGTTGGTGTATAATTATGGCTCGTATTTTGAGATGTTGGAGGATAAAGTCCACGGTGGCATTGCTCTTAAAGCTCTTGGATCACTGTAACTTTTAAGTCGAGTCCAATTAATGGGTTATGATAGTGAATTATACAGGTCATACATATACTGTGGTTAGTAGAATAGACTGTGAATTCATGAAAGGAAAATACACTATTTATAACCAGACATAAGCTATATTAACAAACATTTTCATCCTGGTTTAAGTATGCCTGTGTACAATACTGCTTTAGTTATAGATTCATATAAACAAAGTAGTACTCAAACTGTAAATGAAATTTTTTTCAGCACCAAAGTCCTACCAAGTCTCACCTACATTACAGTTCTACCAAAATCCTGTTAATCAGAAATGCGCTTGAACACAGAGTATGCAACACAAGTGTGGAAGCCTTGATTAATAACTAGCAAATGAAAACTTGTTACAAACTCAGATCCTTCAGTATAGTTGTATTATGTTTAGATACATGATTTACAATGTGCTAAGACTGCATGTAGACTTCTGATACAATTATGACACATTCCATGAAGAAATGGGACTCTGGATAATGCCCTTTTGTCTTGTACAGAAGAGTTTCTCTGGAGATGTGTCTCCAATAATTCTATTTTTTCCATATCTTTCCTTGACGCTCGTCTTTCTTTTCCCCTGAAAAACTGCTTTCAATTTTCCATAAAAGCTTTTCTCCAAGACCTTGTTTTTAAAGAAAAATAAATTCCTTTTGAAAAAGTGGTATTTTCTAAATTGAATTCTTTAAAAAACAAAAGCTGCCCATTTTCCTTTTTCTCTTATTTTCCAATAGAGAGGTGGAAGAAAAACAAGGCAAAGGTGGATGGAAACAAAGAAAGCAAAACTATTTTTCTGAAGAGAACTAATTTTCTTAGGCAGAATAAAGTTGACCCCCAAATCCAACAACTTCTAAATGCACGTGTGAAATTGTCAAAATGCTTCACTGTTTCCCTATCTTGCTGTTTATGATTCTGATGGTAGATGACTGGTAGCTGAAATTGCCATCTATTACTTCTATTCTCTGACAGCTATTACTCATTACATCCTCATCCCCTCCATGTGTCCATCATACAGAGAGTTCTGATGTTCATCTTATCACTGGCACAAATTCTATATCCTTACCAACATCTTTCACTATTTCAAATGTATTAGTGTATCCTTGATTTCAACCATTCATGTAGCTGTTACAATCAGTCCCACAGATACTCCCCTATCTCCTTCCCTTACCTTCAGCTCACTTTTCAGAAAGGTTTTCAAATATTAGTATGAGAACCACTCTGCAAATCACTGAAATTTTTAAATATAGCTATAAAAGTATATAAGACAACACACAGATAAGGTTAGACTTTTTTTTTTCCTATCTTTTGTGTGTTGATTTAGATCTAGGTGGTAGTTTATTTGCTATGACAAACAATCTCAGTGTTTATCAGTTGGACTGCTGAAGAAAGTGACAAAGACACATGATACTCAATAGTGATTTCCACAGTTCTTAGTGCTCAGTTATTTTTAGCTATTTGTAGAACCAGGTAAAAATGTGATTCAAAACAATATATTAGTAGTCTTAACTGCTAATTAATGAAGTTTTGTCTACCAACAGGCATGTGCTGTGGTGTTTCCGCCATGAACCTAGATTCCGTATAGTCATGCTTTACTACAGACATATACGCTGCATCAGGCAAGACTTATAAACTCAAAGTACACAGATTATGAAGTGCTGCAATGCAAAGTTTTACAACTCAGTAACAGAAGCCTAACCTTAGTTTTAAATTAGACACCTACAATCTGTCAAACCAGCATCAGAGTGCTAAATAGGAAGTCTTCTAAATTAACAAACAAGAAACACTAAGGGAAAATCTACCTCCCCGTGAGGCTTAGACATCCTGCTCTGAGTTACATGGATGCACTCTCCATCTGTGATATAGCCAAGAGATTTATGAAAAGAACTTTAAATAAATAAATAGAATCAAACCAAAACAAAAAACCTCGTAACTCCAGAAAACCCACAGCTGAATTCCCTTCTCTCGAAATACAGACAGAGGATGAGATGTTAATTACAACAGATCAGTGGTTAGTATTCATCATAAAATGAGGGATGCCTAAACTCAATTCTTGGTCTGCCTAAGGGCATTCAAATCATCATCTCAGAGAAATACCAGTGCTTCTTAGGTTTGTGCTTTCTGGGTGGAGGCATGCTTTCCTCCACTGTTGAAGTTGAGACATTGTCATGGAATTCTTAAACATTAACTGATAAGAGAGAGCAAAAGCTGCCTAATCATTAGGTACACTCCTGACACAGAAGATATGGGTCCTGTGGTTACTGTTCCATTACTTTTTAATGCATTTAATCCAATTATTTATATATAACATGCAACAGCAAGAACCATAACAGTATACCATGGGAATGTATATAAAGAATGGGATAGAGAAATATCAATAATGTTACTATGAAGTATTATCACGTAAACTATCATGGAACACAAAGTCACTACTTTTTTTCCCCTCTCTTTGGTAAAATACACACATGTAGCAGAGACAACAGCTACGTAATGAAGCAACCCAAATACCTGTCTTAGTATTAGCAAACTTAGGTAGAAGAAACTTTGTCAAAATGACTCATCTTATCAGATCAGTTTAAAAGGACCTCTAAAACATTACAAGGCTCTTTCATAAGGACAGATATATTTTTCCAATAAATCTATTTTATTCTAACAGAGGCAACTTTACTGCATTTATGGATTTTAAGAGCATCCTGAGGGTAGTAAATAGGGCTACTGTAGAAGACCAAGATGTCTTAATCATGTTACTGAAACATATTTATCATACAGTTCAGCACAATTACTGCAAAAACATACTTTGTGGAATATATCTAGTTGTAAGTGTTCTGGTGCTGGCCAGAGATGACCTGTCCCCTGAATAGCAGTCGTCTTGAGATGGTCATAGTAACGGTGACCAGTTTTCGTTCTGCTCACAGTCAGCATACACACTCTGTAATTTAGCTTTACATTTTACGTACTTGATCAGACAATATTATCTGTGAATCAAATGATAGTGTCTCACTCTCAAGCATACAACAGTGGTAGCTGAAACACATTAAAGACTTTATTTATTTATTATTTATTCTCCCTAATCACATCATCAGTCTTCTTTGAAAACCTCACCTGGAAAAATACAAGAAATGTTGTCTCTGCAGACTTAATAAAATTTTCTTTCTTAGACACTTCTCTTCCTTTTGCTTATTTTCTTTATTCTACGTGTATATGCTTTAACTCATAATAACGAGGAAGTAAAACTAAATTATGTAATCTCAACAATTTTATTCACAATGATGCTTCACTGAAATGCCTGTTCTGTTCAAGAAGCAAGAGTGGTGAATGATTTAAGATTAATGCCAAGACAAGATAGAACTTGCATTTGTATTACTTAGCTAATGGTCTGGAAGCTTAGACCCTGATCTAGAAAACCACTTAAGAATGTGTTTAACTTTATTCACATGCTTCAGTGTTTTGTTAAAGTATGAACTAAGATCTGCAGCTAAGGACCACTGACAGACATTTCTGTGCAGCTGTGCCAATTTGTTTTAGAACTATCACAATTTTAAACACCGTTCATCTGAGACCAAGCACGGAAAGCTTAAATACCACATGAAAACTTTTTTCTCAGAACACTGTGAGTACAAGACAACTCCAGATTATAATGCTACACTCTATTTCACCTTGCAGAGTTAGTTTTTGCAAATGGTAGTACACAACTGTAACTGATGCAAGTTTTGTTACTGACTGCTGTGGCCCCAGGGTAACTGCATATAGACACAGAGCTGTTACACTGTTGATAGAGACAATTTCAAACACACACACGTGCATGCATTTTTTACCTTGTGGTTGAGGATTTCTCCATAGGAAGCCCCTCATCTGGTTATGATATGGAGGAACAAAAGAACTTCTGTGTGTTTGCTGAAACCTGGGATTAAATTCTCTTTGTTGTGTTCCTGAAAAATAGTATTTACTAAGCAACTCTGACTGTATATAAGATTAAATGAAGAAAAAGAGAGACATTATATCCTTTTTCAGGAAACAACACTTCTTAGTTTTATGCCAAAATACTTATGCATAATTACAATTTTTCCAAACTAAAGTCAGCCTAATAAGCATGGTTCTTGTCCTTATTTCCATCTATGCACATCATGATTACAAGCTGTTAACAAGTGTATTTAGAAACCAGATCAAAATTTTATGACACAGATTTGGAGACTGCAGTCATTAAAAGAAACCAGAAATCTCTGTCCAAATTGGAATCACAAATCATAATTAAAATGGTTAAGTACAGCTCTCAAGCAATAGCAGCTGCTAACAAGGTTTGGTATCATAAATCACCAACAGATACCCTTAGTTTTGAATGTCCACCACCAGTATGGTGTAGTGCCACATCAGAAGTATTGCTGTCACATAATGCAAAATATTGAACTAGCAGAAAATCATTCTGTCAATTTTGCTCAAGGAATTCTGAAGGCGTAATTTTTATCCTCACAGACATTCTAACTGATCAGGTCTTAAGCAAGTAATAAACATAATACCAGCATAAACACTGACATTCAATGTGAATTATTTAGAAGTCTCAAAAGTCCCAACATTCAGGCTGATCTGTGAATGATGCTAAAAACCTGTTAGATGTTCCTCTCCCTAAAAGTCAGGCAGATCAGGTGGGGAAAAAAAAGTCTTTAGTAAACCAAGCCATAAAGTTGGGGAAAAAAAGTGCAAGGACTTAAGCAAAAACACACCCATTCTCCAGGTTGCCCAAAATCTTTTTTGTATTTTGAACTATATCAGTCAGTCCAATAAGGAGTATTCTCTCTTCAGTGCCTCACTCAAGATTTTCAAGTAGCAACATTAAAACAGCTCCCCTGAGGGAAAGGACGAAAATCTAATTCCTCCTATAAAAATAACTTCAGCCACTGAGCAAATAGCAGTGATGTTTCTGTCAGTGAATGATACTTTATTTACTGCATATATCTCATTAAATATGTAGCCAGAGGGAAATACTATTTTACCAAAACTTGAGTAATCAAATTCACATGAATTTCTAAAATATTTCTTAGATATCTCATTTGGTTTCTTAGAGAAAGACCTTACAATTTACTTAGGTTAATGGGCTGCCTATGTAAAAGTTGCTGCTGTTGAAGGATACTTCAGCTCATCAGTACATTGACTTTATTGAGAAGATTAACACAATACCAACCTGTGATAAATCCGTTCCCTCTTGGTCTGCTCTGTATTGTTCTTCTCTTCGCCATACAAACCTTGCAAATTAAAGACTTCAGATTCTGGAAGGGTGTATACAAAGATTCCTGCAGGCAATAGGGTTAAAAACCAATGACTGTTCTGTTTTTCCTTCTTCAGGTGTAGTGCAAATCAACCACATATACAGCAACTAAAACAATTTTCTCATGCATATGTGAAAATGGTAGATCTTATTTGCATTTTTTTCAGGAAACAAAGTTCAAACATTTCATATTCAAAGTGGATCCTTGGAGGGATGAGTAGGGGTGCAGAAGGAATGTTTTCCCCTTTCTCAGTGAAGTTGTTTTTTATTCTCTGCTCACATCTGTAAATCACTTGCTTTCCTATTCTATTACCTTGCACCTGTAGATATACTTAACTAGATTTCTATCAGCAATACCTCAGGCAGACATGGTTAAAGCCTCCAGATAAGATTGATGAACTCACGGAAAACACACCAGTGAAACTCAAAGTATCTTAATCGCATAAATTAGAAATAAAACTTAACACAGTAGTAATACATCACCCCCAAATCCTGACTGATAAAATATAACCAAGTCTAAACTGAAATGGGGGAGTTAAATAAAAATGTTTACCTTGTGGTGTGATCAAAAGTTCTACTGTCAAAAGGACAAGCTGAAGCTATTTAAAGACACAATACTAAGAGATGTGATGTATACTTAACTTTCACTGATTTCAGTGAGCTTTGAAGAAGTGTCTTTTTTATTGATTTGTACTGGGCATGTAGGTAGTACACATTGAAAAGAATTATGAAAAGACAGATTTTAGAGCAATAGTGTAATTTCTGATTTTCCTAAAACTGAACTGAGTTTTATAGGATGACAATTATCCAAGGCGGAGGGGAGAATATTACAGGATAAGGTAAAAATTCAACAGGTGGCAAGACTGCAGCAACTAGAGAGGTTTCCTAAATTAGAGGTAGAGTCTGAATCCCTGAACCTTCCTGAAAACTTCCCTAGCACATTTATTGAGTTAACAACCTCTTTATAGAGCCTTAAGCAAAACCCACAGATTTCCTCCCCCCCCCCCAAACAGAGTACAGTCTGTGAAGAACACTCACTAATGGGAAAAACCTTCCATTATATTATTGGGACAATAAATTCAGAATGTGTTTATGAAGTTTGGATGAAAGGCATGATCAGAAAAGGACAAAACATATCACCTATGCTGATCCCATTAGGTACTTCTGGTTTAATTTTAAAAAATTGATCATGAACTTACTCATTAGTGAGAAGAACAATAAAAAGGCTAATAAAGTGATAATATCATTGTCTCACTGCTTTATGAGACTATTATGTCCATTTTTCTATATGGATAAACAAATCAGTATGATTACTGTTACGAAAAACAGAGAACTAGCATAATATGAGCTGAGCATATTTTTTAAAAAAGCAAGATGGATCTACTTTTGATTCTTATCAGAAGCTTTCTATTCTTTATCTTTAACAGCTGCTAGGCTACAAAGAGCTGAGCTACACAAAAACTTGCCCACAAATATATCAACTGCATTTAATTTATACAGTTTTTTCTTTTTGGTACAAGAATCTGTGGGAAGCAAACCCTAAAATGTTCAAAATCTCTGGTATACATGTAAATATTTAACCAAGATTGCATTTCTACTGTAATTTTCACAAAGCTATTAACTGTATTTAAGCCCATCATAATCAAAACAACACTGATTCTGAGATCTCCTGAACTTCCTGGAGTAATATAACTGTCCAGATCATAGAGAAGGGACCTTAGGAGTTAGGAGACAAGTACCAAACACCAAAAGGTGTAACTTTTTCCTATTACTTATCTTTTCTATGACAAAACATCCCATGTAGAATAACTTTTTTTCTGAATACAATGCTGTTGCTATCACCAGATTAGATTTATGGTGCTCAAGGGTTGATTGTTAACAAACAAGTGCTGAAAGACTTTGTCTTCCAGCAGTACTTTAAACTCTACCAGGAACTAGTACAGTTTTATTTATTAAAGTTGAACTTAGAATAATAGGAAAAAACAATCGCATATGCTTGCTGCCTTGTCAGTATCCCCAGCTAAACTGGCATCTCTTGGCAATTCTCCCCAAAATAGACTCTTGCCTCAAACTGATAAGCTGGAATGTATTTTATTAGTCTGGGAGCTATCTCTGCCATATATGTACCATAAATGTGTACCTAAAAAAGAAAAAGATATTTAAACTACTCTAAAAATTCACAGGGATAGACTATTTTTCCCCACAACAGAACAGTTTATCTGGGGTTTGTTTAAACTACAGTATCAGGCTTTAAAAACCCCTAACCTAGATATTTTAGTTGCTCAAGCAAATTTCCAACTCTGTTCTAGGGATTTAAGCATCTTCTTTCATCTTCCTTCTAAGACAGGTTAAAATATAACTTTAACCTGATGATATCAAGATTTTCAAATGTTAGCTATACATTTTGTACAGATTTAGAAACATATTGTAGAAGTTATTCACTGACCTGAATACTACCCAAATGGAAAAAAAAGTATCAATTTCACATAGATCTGCATAGTTTTACATTTTTCCATTTATTCTTTAGACCCTCTGTTGTTCTGCAAAAGTCCTACATGAAAAACTGGATGAACCACTGGCCCAATTCAAAATCTACTGAAATCAATGGACCAATTAAAGGGAAACACAGGATTTGGATAGAGGCTATAGTCCTAATCATATGATTGATTCCGTATGGAAAGGATTATCCTCCTCCTCCACACTGAAAGCACATACATTCCACCTACCCACACACGTTCCACTCATCACTCCAGATCAGGATGGTATGTAATTGGACACAAAATTAGAAAACTAACTATACAACAATTGGTATTGAATGCATGAGATCAAAATCATTTAAAACCAAAACCACTTTTCTCCGTAATCACTTATTTATTTCTACCTCAAGTGATCTATGTAACAGCAGGTAAAAACATCTCAAACGTAAAATTTTCAGAAGTAATTAAATGGTACAGGATTTTCAGTTCCACATTGAAAAGAGACACATTAATCAAAGGTCTTTACACAGATGAGCACAGATCTGCCTAAGCATCTCTTTACATATTCTGTGCTGGTGAGGCACAAGCCAGCCAGGTCTGGTCCTGGGCTTCACTAGTGCATTAATACACTACCTCTGAGCCTAGACATGATGCCACCCTAATGCATCAGATATGGCCCATATCCAGCAAGACTGCCTTGCCTGGGCAGACATAGTTTAAGTCATAATGGTTTTCTGGTAACATAGCATTCAAATTGTACAAACCCCCCAGCTTCTGAAAAGCGGGACTGAGAAGGTACCTGGTGAGTTCTAAAAGAATACCTAGATATATACCCCCCTCCGATTTCTAGTTCCTCTTTGAACTCACCAAAACTTCAACTCAAACTTTAGGTTCCTTAATACCTTTTAAAAATATTACTCTGAAACACTTTAAAAATTATACCGAGTATTCTTATTTACAGACATTCTTAACATGTTGCCTAAAATCCTGCAGGAGAAAGATCTCATTAATAACTTACCACTAGAAAACCATTACAGGCTTTTTCATTTTTTGAAACTGACAACTGTCTTGACACTTCCTTATATTATCTTCTGAGTAATGGAAACAAAAATAAAGGCAAAATTAAAGCTTCCTTCATAGTCTCAGTATTTCTACCTTCTTAGGGTTTTTTTGGCAGAGGATGAAAAGGGAATAAGGAAGAGAGGAAAAATACAAAGGAAGGGGATCAGTATAAATATGAATATTAAAACAACAAACAAACATCGACAGGTACATTTTTCAAAGAATACAGAACTGTCTAAGAGGATGTGATTACTTACATTGCTTTCCAAAAGCTCTTCCAAAGAGCAACCTCGGTGCGACTGCTGGTATTTTTCTTGAAAAAGTTTTCCATCAAACACTTCCCAAGGCATCAAATCATCCATTCTGAATGGAAAGCCACAGGCACTATTGGCCATAAGCAAAGTTGTAAGGCCACGAACAAAGACGGCACCAAGATGTACAGCTCTGGAGTCCACTTGTGCAAGCTGTTAACACACACACACACACAAAAAGGTAGGCCTCACAAATCAGGAAATACAAGGAATTTTACCATCACATATAATCATGCGAACATCAAGGCAACTGATAAACATTGTCACTGACAATGATGGTCCTCTACTTCTCAGCAGAATTCATCAAAGGATTCTGTATCTAGATTTATTCAATAACGTGAAAGAAGTGGTCTATTTTAACAAATACAGCATCTCAAGTTTTTAGGATAGATACATTCAAAATGAAAACAGAAAGACAAAATAAATGGCTGTTCTCCATAGCACTTCTCAAGCATTAGCAGTTCCCCAGAAAGAATTCTGTTAGTGGAATGCAAAACATGAACTGGGAGTATAAAAGGATGTGTATGGTGATCCACTGATCTTCCACAGCTTGATCAACCAGGAAATGTTACAGCACTTAAGAGTTCATTTAAATTATAGTATTTGACAGAACAAAGTTTATTGAGCCCAGGCTTTTATTTTAAACACTCTAAAATCTCCTCTGACTGTAGTCTGAAAGTCAAATTATTTCACTCCAGCATGGATGTCTCCAGAAGTAATACTGGAATGGTATGACAACATCCAGAAAATGCAAAATGAGAAACTCAACGAGACAATTAGAACTCATGGCCAAAATAAACTTGAATGGCGAATTTAACATCCTGCTGTGACGGAGCGTAGCAAACTGTAAAAGCCTTGAATCCAATATGGAGAAAACTATAATTTTAAGTATTGTGTAAACAGTACAAAGCTTCTCAGTGGGGAGTGCCTTTTCCACAATCTGTACCAAAGCAGTCTGTCAAGACCAAGAAGGATTCATAACAGTGTGACCATCAATACTGTACTCTGTGGCAGCTGCTGTACCCTTACAGTACAGTTTTCCTTACAGTATAAGTTATACCAGGAATGGAATAGCATCTAAAATAGGCCAGAACAGAAAGAACAAAAATGTGGCTCAAATTTGTTGTAGTCCTAGCTCCCTGAAGAGCTGTGAATTGTTTGTCTGAAATGCAACGGAAAGGGTTGGCTCATTATTACTAACAATAATGTCTTACATCTTGAAAGATCCCTAAAAGACTTAGAGGTATGCATATACACCATCAATGTCCCATTTAAAAAAATTACAAGTAGTAGCAGACAACATGAAACATTGTACGGATGGATCAGAGCTTTTTCCTCCTTCAGGTCCACATAACAAACCCAAAAAACCTTTGCTAGCAACATGGAGCTACAAAACTTCTTCCATTAGAGACACACACAATATACCATTTGGAGAATATAGCTAGAACCTGGTCAAGGATTTAGATTTTCTGTATTATTATGCAATGAGTTGAAGTCTATTGACTGATTTGACTATGTGAAACTAGGTTCTGTGACAGGGTTCCCTGTAACCACAGACAAGGAGCAGTAGGGTTCTGTTAAGCTGACTTGAAGATATGAGGTGTACCTTCACTGTCTGTTTTTTTTCTACAGTGCAAAAGCAAAAGAGGACATAGAGATGATGATGCAGACCAAAGGTACTAGGCAGGGTAGTCCAGAGCCCTCCGGGAAGAACTTCTTCTGTATCTAGTGATTCCTGGAAAGGCATCAAGCTGGCCACCAGGGCACTGACCCAACATGACACTCAGTACTTGAAATTCACCCAATACAGACAATTGAAGATAACCACTGACATCCAGACAAATGCCAACAACACAAGATAATCTGAGCAGTCATCTAGAAAATGAAAGGCCCATTCTCTTCTGACTGACACTTCATACTTAAGGAAGACCTTTCTCCTCTGTCTTTAAAATAAAAATATTTTCAGTATGGAATCAGGCTACTGAGTTTCAGGAAGTTATTGCGTCCAGATGTAAGTTATCGTTTTGCCAGCTGAGACTAATAACTACATGCACACTCATAACTCTCTCTCTTGCTGTTTGCAAACCATTTAACAATGCTGAAGGGTACCTGAAAGAGGAATGTGGTTTAAGTGAAGCAGTATTATTTGTACTAAAGTAGACTGTAAGAGTACACACAGCCAGTTATCATGTTGCAGCTGATTCTTACATTGCACTAACCAGATTGTTTCTGATCACCTAATCAGATCTCAAGATCTGCTAAAGAAATGAGTCCATATCATTACAAGCTTTAAAATGGAATCTGCTTGGTTTGTGATCACAAAGTAAGACCTTATGAGCAGAAAGTACAATGAGTAAGAACTGCTGGGAATCCTCAGAATTCCTATTTTTTTTTCGGCAAACTAATCCAGCAAGGGAATTCTTTCAAAATTTATGCACCCTGGTCTTGTCCTCAATGAAACAATAAATTGAACTTTAAATAATTTCAATAATATACTTCAGAGCACTTTGACAAGTGGTAAAGTTTTGCTCTTAAGCTATAAGGAAAATGGACATGTCAAGCTACAATGAGCAGTAGAGGCCAAGAGTGATAGTAGCACATCAACCAGCTGCATCATACTTGGCCAAATTTACGTCAATATGTTTTATACCACTAACAGTCTCTATTATAGATCAGTACAAAACGAGACTGAAATTCACTGTCATACAAATCAGTATCTTCTGTCACTGAATTATCAGTAATGGTTGATAACATCAAAAGATTTAATTGCTGAAAACAAACTGAAGAATAACAAAAACAAGTATAATGAAATGAAGAATAATGAAAACAAGTATTTAAGCTGCTGAAAGAAAACAGTAAATGCTGTCATCTGCAGCACAAAATTTTCCACTTTCTAATTTAATGGTTGTGTACTATACAACTATTAGTTCATACCTTTTTGTCATTTAATGACAAAGATGCTTTTACTGTACTTTTTAATCCCACTGGTACCAAGGATGTAAAACAACTGTTAGAACAGATTACTAATACTATATGTGAACATTGGATGCCATCTGGGCTATAACTCTTAAAATAAAGCTTTTATATCTTTATTTTATTCTGAAAACCCTGAGCATAGACCCAACACAAATATGTGATTAACCCAGCTTTCTTCAGTAACCTTTTTCAAGTTAGTGCAAAACAAATGCATACGTATTTGCAGAACAAGTGTCTAAATGAGAATTTGAAAAATTTTGCTTTTGATGGTGATGCACAAATGGTAAAATACAGAAGAGGACTTTGAGTGCTATCTCAAGCTGGAGATCGATGCAGTACTGCAACTGATGCTGATCTTCACTTCTGCCTAAGTGAATATGAAGTCTGAGCCACCAATACAACCCTAGCTGTGCTCTTTTCAACTACACTTGAGACATACTGGTTAAAATGATAAAATAATGTTGCTAGTGACAGGTTTTACAGGTAGAAGACTTAACTGTCTAGGGATACTAGAACTTTCCTAAAGCACTAAAGTATTGGGGGGGGGGTGTGTGTGTGTGTGTATATGTGTGTGAATATCAGGTAAGATTTGCTTTTTAAATGGAAATCAATATTGGCAAGACCAAGGCAAGAACTAAAGAAATAAGACAGGAAACACATTCACTGAAGGGTAGTTTCTATTTTCCGTGTCGGGCAATGAAAAACAAAGAAAATGAAAGCACAGTGAGTCTCTAACAATGAGCCTGTGCACATGGCAAACCACAGACTTGCTTTGCCATGAGAATGCTCACAACTGCTTGGTGTCTGCAATGCAAAGAAGTCATGATGAGGAGAAGTGGAAAATTCCAAAAGAAAGGAAGGCTTGCCTTTCAGGGCATTACACCCTAGAGATTACTTCTTATTGGAAATTGTGTCTGTTCTTTTTACTATTTTTATAAACTTAGGACCCCAGTGAATCATGTGAGATACACCCCTGTGATCCCGCTGCTGCTACTCCTACCACCAGCTGATGACATCTGTGTGAGAGAGACAGGGAGTGCGTGAGAACTGCTCCTCCTGCATCAGCTGCCTGCGCTGTGCCCCTGCTGCTGCTCCTACCAACAGCAGCTCCCCACTATCTCAGCTTTTGGGGAAAAATATTATTTTTCCTATTTGCCAACACTAACTGAAGACTGAGAACTCAAAGTTCACAGTCCTCTAGTACCACAGGTTACTAATATTGTGCTTAGAAGGCCTGAGCTGAAGTGGGTAATCCCACTTGAAAAGACTGAGAAAAGTGTTACAGTGCTCACTTTATTAATGTATATTTTTTTTCCTAACAATTTGAGAAATATTTTTGCTAGAAGATCCATCATCATAGACTTAAATCATACCATGGCTTTTTTTTCTGTGCTAGAAACACAGGGCTTTAGCCCGTGCATCACAAGTTCAGGCTGATCTCTGTGCTGGTGTGCATCCTCATTGACCACAGAAAGATGCTTTGCAAGAAGGAAAATGTTTGCTCACAGGAGCAGTTTATAAATTTAGACCCAGAGACTGTATATTCTGCTCAAGAGTTTTTACTTCAGGAAGGAAAATACATGGATCTTGTATATGAAATGCAAATTTCCAGGTCAAATTACATCTAACTAAGTAATAATTAAAAAATAATCAGGATGTAAAAAGACCTTTATGTTTTAAGGAAATGCTACTACTCTTCTGAGTCTTCTTTGTGGATTCAGAAGTGACTTTTTGACAGAGGTGTAAACTTTATCCTATGCACTTTGAAAGCTGCACAACCTATTTTCAGGAACTTACTAAAAAGCCCCACAACTCCTTCATCACTCTACCGAGTTCAGAGGGTTCAAATTCTGTTAAAAAGATAAATAGGTTCTACCACACTTGAAATGTGAGGGCAAGTATCTGAATGTGCCAGATGTCAGCAGACACAAATGAAGGCCAGAACCACACCCACTGGCAAAGTCACCTCACTATCTTAATTTCTAGAAACCAAGGAGAAAGGTAAAGATATGGTAATTATTTTACAATTCTTTACTTGTGCTGCTTTACATATCATCTGTGCACAGCATCTCAACACACTAAACACTACATTTAAGAACTGGTTCCTTTAGTAGGATTTTCAACAACATTCTGGAGACACACTTTTTCAATGAAAAAAATTTGTATTAATAATTGTT